TAGGGGCAATAACACACCTCAAGAGGCGTCTGGATATCAAGGGACCAACAACAAAACCTGATTCATCTTCCAGTAGTGACAGTGAGGATGAAACTGGTCACATAAAGAAACACGAACAAGAGTTACATGTGTCAAGGCCTCCAATAAAAGTATCACAAACAGTCACTAAACAGCAAGACAACCAATGGCCTACCATTAATCTAGGGGCAATAACACACCTCAAGAGGCATCTGGATATCAAGGGACCATCACCAACAACCGAATCATCTTCCAGTAGTGACAGTGAGGATGAAACTGGTCACATAAACAAACAGGAACAACAAGAGTTACATGTGTCAAGGATTCCAATAAAAGTATCTCAAACAGTCACTAAACAGCAAGACAACCAATGGCCTACTATTAATCTTGGGGCAATAACACACCTCAAGAAGCGTTTGGACATCAAGGGACCAACACCAAAAACTAACCAATTTTCCAGTAGTGACAGTGAGAATGAAAATGGTCACATAAACAAACAGGAACAACAAGAGTTACATGTGTCAAGGCCTCCAATAAAAGTATCTCAAACAGTCACAAAAGAGCAAGACAACCAATGGCCTACTATTAATCTTGGGGCAATAACACGCCTCAAGAGGCATCTGGATATCAAGGGACTAAAACCAACACCTGATTCATCTTCCAGTAGTGACAGTGAGGATGAAATTGGTCACATAAAGATACAGGAACAAGAGTTACATATCTCAAGGCCTTCAATAAAAGTATCTCAAACAGTCATTAAAGAGCAAGACAACCAATGGCCAGCTCTTAATCTTGATCAAGTAACACAAATCAAGAGGCGCTTTGACATCAAAGGACCATCACTAAAATGTGACTCTTCTTCCAGTAGTGACAGTGAGGATGAAACTGGTCACATAAACAAACAGGAACAACAAGAGTTAGGTGTGTTAAGGCCTCCAATAAAAGTATCTCAAACAGTCACTAAAGAACAAGACAATCAATGGCCAACTATTAATCTTGGGGCAATAACATACCTCAAGAGGCGCATGGATATCAAGGGACCAACATCAAAAACTGACACATCTTCCAGTAGTTACAGTGAGGGAGAAACTGGTCACATAAAGAAACAGGAACAGCAAGAGTTACATGTGTCAAAGCCGTCAATAAAAATTTATCAAACAGTCACTAAAGAGCAAGACAACCAATGGCCTACTATTAATCTAGGGGCAATAACACACCTCAAGAGGCGTCTGGATATCAAGGGACTAAAACCAACACCCGATTCATCTTCCAGTAGTGACAGTGAGGGTGAAACTGGTCTTATAAAGAAACAAGAACAAGAGTTACATGTGTTAAGGCCTCCATTAAAAGTATCTCAAACAGTCACTAAAGAGAACGACAACCAATGGCCTACTATTAATCTAGAGGCAGCAACACATCTCAGGCCAGCTCTTAATCTAGGGACAATAACACACCTCAAGAGACGACTAGATTTCAAACGGCCAATACCAAGATCTGAATCACCTACCCGTAATCACAGTGAGAATAAAACCGGTCACAATAAAAAACAAGAAAATGGAGATTTGCATGTGTCAAATCTTCTAGAGAAGGTGCATCAAACAGCCACCCAAGAACCAGAAAACCAATGGCCAGCAATTGTTCTTGAGGGAGTAAGAAAAATAAAGAGGCGTCTAGATATCAATGGGCCATTACCAAGACCTAATTCATCTTCCAGTAGTGACAGTGAGGATAAAACTGGTCAGAATGAAGGTGAGGATGAAGCCACTGGTCAATTTAAGAAACAAGCACAAAAAAAGTTACATGTGTCAAGGCCTGGAATGGAAACATCTGCTGTACCAACAACCTCAGAAAAAAAGTTCTTATGGTCTCCAGAAGTTCTAAAGAACATTTCACATACTCCAAAGAAAAAACACAACATCACATTAGAAAAGTATGCAGTTATTTCACTTGATATGGAGAACCAGCTAACAAATAACACAACCAGCACAACACCTGAAATAAATGCAAAGTTTCAAACACAGTTGGCCACGAGGAATTTTGGAATCTCCCGCTTTCGGAGACGTCTTGAAATAACGTCGCCTACTACAATATCACACAGTCTGCCATCATTGCCCCCACCTGATTCCCCATACTTTTCCAGCAGTGAAAGTGTACCTGGAAGATTACAGAGAAGAGTTGTTGGAGTCCAAGAATTAGTCCACACAGACTCCTCTCGTGTGCCTGAAAACATACTAGTGAATGTTTCCCCTACATTAAAGGATCCACATAACAAGTTCACCTTCTCAGTTAAAGCAGATACGAGCAAGCCAGACACTAAATTGGTTGATCTTAGTTTTCAAGACATTAAAAGGTATCAAGATATATGGTTTGATGAAAAGGTTTCAGCTACAACTTTTCAATGTCATCCTCATTCCTCTTCTAGCAGTGATAATGAGGATGAAACAATAGACTCAAGTGTTCCTGACCAGAGTTGTAGTGTCCCACGCATCAAAAGGTATCTGAATATCAAGGCACCATCACCAGAGCCATGTAATACCCAAACTTTATTCAGTAAAAGTGAAAAAGATGTGACCAAATACAGTGAAATACAAAGCAGACAAACATCAACGATATTAGAAACTACAGGTGAATCACTAATCACTAAGCATTCCATTATCAAATCCTCATCACTTCCTAAAAACTCTTTTACCCCAGCTGGCAGTAGTCAAACTGCAGACAATACATTCATTGCACAAACAGACAGTTACAACACATATCATTCCCCAAAATTTGGTCCAAGCATGAGCTTTGATGATATAGTACAAGGAAAAATAAGACAGTCCAGATCAAACACAGATGTGGCCATACTTCATGATAATAAGTGGACGAGAGTTGATCATCATGTATCTCACCTTTCAACTTCCAATCCAGTAGGTTTGAAAGCAACATTACCATCTTCACAGCAGGCTTCCCTCGCAGGACCACATTCTCTCCCTCTTGAAGCCTCCAGCAGTTCAAATATTTTTGACAAAATGCAAGACAGTGTGAAATTAGATGAGACACTAATGAATAAATACTCATCACTTGGCAGCAAAGGTGCTTCTCCTTCATCTAGTAATACTTTTGATCTGCTCGGTATTTCACCCCACAAAATAAATGAAAAATCAAATACTGCATCAGAGGACAAAAGAGAAAAGAAAGGCCTTGATGCCCTAAAAGTCATGTCAATGGAAAGAAGACTGTGGGAGAGATCTCTTTCATCTGATGACTATGGTTTACAAGATGACACCAATTTTATTTACGAGTCTGAAAACGACACCAAAATCTCATCTAAAGTGCCATTAAAACGTCTTTCCTCTTCCTCAATGGAAAAGAAAAAAGATGCAGATTTGTTTTTGTTGTATGGAGTTCCTCGCTACAAAAGGCATGACATTAAACCCTCGATGCATGAGAGTCCTCCTCCTGTTCCTGAAACACCTCTACCAGATGACTGAAGAGTGTGTACACAACAATCTCTCGTGTTAAAAAACAAGACTATAAAAACATAAAAGATAAATTGTAACCTAACCAATCGTTTTCAATACAATAACTGGGTTTTTATCCCTAAACTGTCCTTTTTATTTTATGCACACACACACACACATACAATATTTGAACGCAAACTTAAAATCAAATGTAAACTAATAATCAAATTTAGGTAGTAGTTCACAGCAGGTACGGATAACCTTTACTGTTCACATTTTTCTATATTTCTAAAATCACAATTATCTTCTATTTTATTTATCAATCTATTTTCTGTTGCACAAGTTTACACTGAATGTCCTCATGTTATAAATCATTACAACATACTTGACTTGAAAAAAACCTGTTGATTAAAAAAAATAAATCATATGAATTATTTGTAGTTACGAAGTCTGCTTTTTTAGAAAATTACTCAAAAATACAAGCCAGTAAGTTAATAAACCTTTTTATTTGTGTATAGACATAGGTTATAGAGAAAACAAACATATAGACACTTAGTTTACATACATATATACAGCTGGGACAAGGCTGTTCCCCCTCCTGCAATTCCATGGGAGAATACTAAAACATTTATCTCTACATAGTAGTACATAGAGTAGGCAATCCAACAGCTAGTTTTTGTTGATGGTTAACGAATCATAATGAAAATATTTCACAGTAATTTCATGTGGCTAATCCTCATAATAGATCTAAATGTGTATTGTGTGTGTATCATGTCAGTGACTGCTATTTTATGTACTTCAAATTAATAAAACAATTTGTCACACTGTTTGCAGCGTGCTGGGGCTTTTGTTAAGATGTATAAGATGAGATAAATGTAATGTGTGTGTGTGTGGGGGGGGGGGGGGGACTCCCATTCCACCATGAGGTTACAGGTGTGTTCCAAGTCTTTGTAGACACATTTGTTTTGTTTTCCATTAGAAAAATAAACTTACATGATTGTGTATGTCAAAACAAGCACAAAACGCATGCACAGGTAACTGTACAAAACAAAAACATATTTGAAAAATGTTTCTGAAACATCTCATCCATTCACAAAAAGGCTCGTTGGAGCAAGCATGCAAATAGTAAATCTTCTGACGGTTCAGCATTACATCACAGTCAAAGACAAAAAAAATTGTACAAGAACATTACACTAGGCAAACAGAACAGCATAGCATCTTTACACAGCTCCAGACTGTCAGTGTCCATTGTTTCTATTTCATCCTAAAGGTGCTAATGGTGTTTACAAAGAAATGTTTTCAGCAAACCTATTTGCAATGGTTCCCAACACTGGTCCTTGAGGAACACCATCTTGCATGTTTTAGTTGTTACCCTGCTTTGACACACCTGATTTAAATGAATGGATAATTAACAGACTTCTGCAGAACACAAGGAAGTAATTAAATCACTGAATCTGTTGTGTTGGAGCTAGAAAACAACTAAAACATGCAGGATGGTGTTCCTCAAGGACCCGAGTTGGAACCACTGGAGGACGTTCTCAAAAGGTTTCTGTTTCACTGCAGTTATGTTAACACTGCAAATCCAGGGATATATGCTAATAATGAGATCAGTAGGTCAGTAAACTTAGGAAGACAAAACAGATTCCAAATATGGAGACAAAATGGACACATTATACCAATGTTAACTTATTACACAGCCTAAACAGTCTGAATTCATCCTGAAATGATACTGTACCTGACCAATTCGGTGGTAGTGTGTGCGCACGTAGTGCATGTATTCTCATGTGTATTCATTTGGATTTGTTGGTATGCATGTATAGGACACACGTGACTTCCATATTTTGAGGCACAATAATACTCCTACCAACATAATGCAGATACATAAAATGGTTGTCGGACCAATGCATGCTGATCAGAGCATGTGGCTCAGCACTACACTGTGAGAAGCGTTAGTAAGCAGCAATGCTGATCAGTTTGGTGTTATGAGGTCTGAAGCCTCTGCAGTGGAACAGCAGCTAGTTAGCAAAACAGTAAGAGGGACCAAAAACTGGAGGGAATAAAAATAACTGGCATTTATTGATAGTAAACAGCACAGGCATTAGAAACCCACAGTCACATTTTTGACACAGTGTGCTTTTTGAATTACTACCAAGCTAAAACTAAACAGTAGTTAGTGCTGTTTGTCCAGAAGAGCTCAAGATTAAATTCATCACACAGATATTTAATACTTGAGTGTGCCCAGGTCGAAGTGATGCCGGTTTAAAACTCAAACACAATGCATGGATGGTCGCTTCAGTTGGTTTCTTGGTGCTGAAGACAAGGAGTGGTTCTCCCACACAATACCATTTTCCTCCACTGTTCATGTACGATTCCACTCAACCTAACGCAGACAGCAATATGTCACAGTGACAAGAGAGCAACGCCACTGGGGGTTTGCTGCAAATTAATCCACAACTTCTGGCAGGAAGCATAACTTCGCAAAAACAGTCCTCTTCCCCAGCAGTGTATACTCAAACTGCAAACATACGGCAAACACCTCCCACCCCTCAACATACACACAGTTTGAAGCTCTCCTTCACCAGGAAGCACCCACCGTCACTGCTTTACCGTTTTTATGTTGTCTACTTATTGGTTGTTGATGCTCAGAATTGTTGTGGTCACAGTTGTCTTTTTTTTTTCTTTTCCATTCTCAGCTACGACATCTGTCTTTCTTTGTACCATTCCACAAACTCGTCCAACAAAACTGGCCCTGCAAAAAGGATGAGACAATTACTAGTATAGCAGTGTACCTAAAGCTCTGCTGATTCACTTTATATCCAAATAAGTGTGTTCACTCACAGGCACCGTCCTCATCGTAGTTACTAAGGTCCAGGTTGATTGTCCTGCTGAACTCTAAAACGTTACACCACTGGTCTTTGTTGATGACTTTGTACTTAGATTGCTGAGGAACAGCGCGAGTGTCAGATTAATACCACCTCGGGCTTACTGTGACTTACTGTAATTGATTTAGCAATACGCTCACCTCTAAAAACTGATTAAACACAGGAAACAGAGGCCACATCTTTCCCAGTAGAAGTCCCAGCATGCACTTGGCTGTGTTCAAATCCAAACTCCTCTGATCCTTTTCCTGTCAAATCAAATAGTCTCCAGACTTTTAATAAACATATACACAATATCAGACAGTTTAAACAAAGCAGCCTAGTTACACTAATAAAATCTAAACCAGCCCTTTAAACTACACTGACTTCACCTTGGGAAGGGACACATTTATTAGTTATAAATTAATTAAACTCATTGAACTGCACATAATCTGTTATTTTGATTGTCTGCAATGTGAAGCACATTGTTATTAACAAAAACTCATGTATCAAATTATATTTAAATTTAATTTAATGCATTGAATGGTTGGCAGTGTCAAAACAAAATTGAAATAAAAAAAGATTTTGACAAACTTAAGACATTAACTTTGATAATAAGCTGACTTTACAAATATTTTATTGGAAGTCTATATTTGAGCTTCCATGTAAACAACAACAAAATAAAATACTCAACTTACCCGAGCAAAATCAAAGGCATATCTGTAAATGAGCTTAAAACTAGTGCTGTCGTTCAGAACAGATCTCAGGTAGTCAAGAGAGTTCCTCAGTCTCTCCGTGGAATCACACCTGACAACAGCAGAAAAGTGTTCAACGCTTCACTAACTCTATTAAAAAAATCAACCACAAGAGGGCAATAAATGACTAAGAAAAAACAGCAAATAAGAAAAAAAAGACAGGAAGTAGGTGTTTGCCATACTGCAGTGACCCCATGCCTCGTAGCCACTCCTGAAGGGTAAAATATCCCATACTCTGAGCATCCAGCTTCCAAGCCAGAACCAGCATGACCACCTGGGCAGAAATATAAAACAATGAGACACGTCCTTCTGGCTAGTTACACCTCAACAACTGGGACAAATATTATTCAAGGATTCAAGGTTCTTTATTTGTCATACGAACCAAATGTGGTACATGTGGTGGAACGAAATTATGTACACAGGGTCCCAGTTACATCCAACAAAAGTATAAAATGTAAAAAAAAAAACTAGTAATAAGATCTAAGATATGAACTCAGAAAAACAATAACTAAAAATATGCTAAGCACTAGTAATACAAAAACAATACGCCGAACAGCAGCATGAACATGAGTCTGTGTGAGCAGATGAGCATGAATGAACACAGCAACATGAAACAGATCAGCAGCAACATGAAACAGATCAGCAGCAACATGAAACAGATCAACAGCAACATGAAACAGATCAGCAGCAACATGAAACAGATCAACAGCAACATGAAACAGATCAACAGCAACATGAAACAGATCAGCAGCAACATGAAACAGATCAGCAGCAACATGAAACAAATCAGCAGCAACATGATGTGATTTTTTTTTCCCCACATTGATTATCCTGGTTAGATTCTTGAGTCTAACAGCTTCAGGGTAGAAGCTGTTCCTCAGTCTTCTACACTTAATGCTCCTCAACCTCCTTCCTGAGGGGAGTGGGGCAAAAAGTGTGTGTGCTGGGTGAGTGGGGTCCTTTATTATGCAGGTGGCTCTCTTCCTGCATCTGGAGGTGTAGATGTCTGTGATCGTGGGGAGACTGATTATGATTATGCTGGTATTTTAAGTCTGAAAGGTTGAAATTTATTTTTGGATTAATAAAAATCAAATACATTTTTACACTAATATTAAAAATAAAGTGAGGCCAAATAGATAAGAAAAACAAACATGTACTATTACCCTATTCAGAAGAAGTTTGCTATCAAAGTCAGCTTCAGAGCAAGTGTGTCAGTGAGATCCCAAAGAATCCACACAACTACTCATCTCTCACAGTATTATTATTATTATTATTAGTTGTCTCGTGTTAAATATTAGTTCAAACAGATTCAAACGTTTCAAGACATGCATTAGTTATCAATTCATAAATCCAACTTTACCTTTTATGATTTACCAGACAAGTTGATCAAAAGTGAGAAATATTTTGAAACATATTCCTTATTTAAAAAATGTAGGAGGACAAAACACCACCTGTCTTTTTTTCTAATAGGCAATCAGTGCATTATTTATCAATGTGGATCCTTAAATAAAAATATCTGAATGAAGACTTGAGAATGAACGCACCAGATGTTCTCCTTAAGAAGAGCACAGTGGTCAAAAAGGAATACAAGACCAATAAACACTTTGTAAGTATCAGTGGCATGTTTTAGAGATGAAATGGTACTCAGTTAAATTCTATACGAAATGAAGCAACATGTGGGTTTTTGGGTTTAGTGAACACCAAACATACATGTGCGTCTAAAAAAATTTGAATATCGCAAAATAGTTAAAAATTTTTGTCATTCCTTTCAGAAAGTGAAACATGCATTATAAAGATCCATTACACACAGAGTGAAATATTTCAAGCCTTTATTTCTTGTAGTTTTGATGATTATGATTTACAGATAATGAAAAATCAACTTTTAGTGTCTCAGAAAATGAGAATATTCCACAGCCAGCTTTTTGTACCTTTGTCAGTGTGGGCCGGTGCCGAGTCCTGCTGAAAATCAAACCAGCATCTCCATGAAGCTCGTCAGCAGAATGAAGCATGAAGTCTCTAAAATGTCCTGCTAGATGCTGCATGGACTGTGGACTTCAGAACACCCAGTGGACCAGCAGAGGACATGGACCCAAAACATCCCTGACTGTAGAAACTTCACTCTGGACTTGAATAACGTGGATTCTGGACAGAAAGCACGGTGGCACGGTTGACAGAGCTGCTGCCTCTCAGCGAGCAGGTTATCCTGGTTCAAACCCTGGTCCAGGGGCCTTTCTGGGTGGAGTTTGCATGTTCTCTCTCTGCATGCGCGAGTTTTCTCCGGGTACTCCGGTTTCTTCCCACAGACCAAAAACATGCATGTTAGACTGATTGGTAACTCTAAATTGTCCTATGAGAGTGAGAGAGAATGGTTGTTTGTCTCCATGTGTCCCTGTGATGGACTGGAGACCTGTCCAGGATGTACCCCGCTTCTCGCACAGTGACGACTGGACATGGGCATCAGTGACCCCCGCAACCCGAAAAGGAAGAAGTGGGTAAAGATGATAGATGGATGGATGGATGGATGGACGAACGGACGGACGGACGGACGGACTCTGGACCTAACCTTGATTTACAAATGACATGAACGTTGTGGGGAGTGGTGGCGCAGAGGTTAGAGAAGATGGGCCTGCGATCGGAAAGTTGCAGGTTCAACTCCCGGCACATCAATATAAAAAATGTGGGTGGAAAAGGTGAAACACCCACACCTGCCTCCACCCTCATTTGCCCCACTCTGGGCCCCTGAGCAAGGCCCTTAACCCACACCATCTACTCCCAAAAACTGGTCTCTCTTGAAAATCTCTCGTGACTCAATGAGACTACCTGTATAAATAAAGGGTAAATGAAATTTGTTTTAATTTTAATCTGAAAAGAGGATGTTGGACGACTGAGACAGTCCAGTCCAGTTGTCTCCTCAGCAGGTAAGACAGTTTTGATGTTGTCTATGGTTCAGGAGTGGCTGGACTCAATGAATGAGACATTTGTAGCTCATGTCAAGGAGTTAATCAGCTGATCAGGCTGTGACACCAGGAGTTTACAATATTCAACCTCTTCGTAATTTTCTAATATTCTGAGACAATGAATTTTTGTTTTTCTTTATTTGTAAAATATAATTATCAAAATTACAAAAAAAAATAAAGGTTTGAAATATTTCCCTGCCTGTGATGGACTTACGACCTGTCCAGGTGTCCCCCGCCTCTCACTGGATATGGGCACCAGTGACCCCTGCGACCCAAAAAAGAAGAAGCGGGTAAAGACAATAGAAGGATGGATAGATGGAATATTTCACTCAATAAATCTATGTAAAATATGAGTTTCACTTTCTGAAATGACTGACAAAAAAAATTGAAGTTTTTCACAATATTCAGCTTTTTTAGATGCACCTAAACCTCCACCTGCAGGGGCTTCCTTTTGTGCTGCGAGACCTGCCAGAGAGCACTGATGTCATCATGGTAAGAGATGAGGATATGTGACAAGAGCTGGACAGCAGCCTGCTAATGTTGTTGCCACTTAACTAAGTTGCCATTAAGAATCTTTGAGAAAACCAGATGTTTAACATCTAATATATGCATAAAAAGTTGTAATATGACTCCCAAATGGTTGTTAAACATTTTTTTGACAACAGAATTCAAATATTTTAAACACCAAAATCTTTGCGTATGTTGCTATGACCAAAAGGATGTTTCAGCATCACTAAGAGAGTGAGACTTGCTGACAAGAAATAAAATGAAACTTAAGCAAACTGAGACCATGCACATAAAACCAAACACAAAAACTTAGCCAAATGTGAAGAAAGCAACAAAAATTCTGCTTACATTCTCTGGCTCCACTCCAATGTCTTCACAGAACTTCTCTATGCCCTCTGGACCCACAACGTCATCACAGCCTAGATGGGTATACAGCACAAGCTCAGCTACAAACACACACGGCAAACATCGGTGGTAAAATTCATCTAAACCAAGAATGCATTAAGGCTTGTTCACCTGCGTATTCGTAGAACCACTCTAAGCACCTTTTACTAGAAAATGTCTCCTCCTCACGGATTAGTGCCGTTTCGTGTTTTCTGAAAACACTGCAGACAATTTTAAGAATGAGATAACCAACAATATTACAGACACACAACCTAGCACATTTTTAAATTGGTTTTCATTGGTTCAACATAATGGTACTTCCTCCAGTTATTTAACATTCAACAATGGTGTACCACAAGGCTCAGTCTTAGGACCCACCCTCTTTACAATCTACATACATAATGTAGGCAAAAACATCCCTAATGCATCCATACATTTCTATGCTGACGACACAGTTGTTTATTGTCGAGCTAAAACAGTTGCTAAGGCTTTCCAGCTTTTGAAATCTGCATTTAACTACATCCAGACTGATTTGTTCCACCTCAAACTTGTCCTAAATGCCGAAAAAACCAAAGGGATGCTTTTTTCAAATAGGAAGTTGGTCCCAGCAGTTCTTCCTCCGATTTTATCCTCAAATGGTGTCCCCATTGAGTTTGTTGATTCCTATAAATATTTGGGTATCTTGGTCGACTCACATCTCTCTTTTAAGCTCCATGTGGAAAACTTGGTAAAGAAACTGAAAGTTAAACTGGGTTTCTTTTTCAGAAACAGATCCTGTCTAACCCTGAATGCTAGAAAACGCCTTGTATCTGTGACTTTCCTTCCCTCAATTGATTTTGGTGATATTATTTACATGAACGCTCCTACAAGAACCCTGCAGATGTTGGATGCTGTCTATCATGGTGCACTAAGATTCATAACTGGCTGTGATTATCGTACCCACCACTGCACTCTGTATTCATTGGTTAACTGGACATCATTAACTTCACGCAGACTCTCTCACTGGTACATTTTCATCTTTAAATCACTTCTTGGTCTGTTGCCTTCATACATCTCCTCCTACATGTCTCTGCGTGAGTGCAGCTACGGAGTGCGCTCTCAGGACATTATTACCTGCAGTGTTCCCTCAGTGAGGTCTGAACTAGGCAAAAGGGCCTTCTCCCACTCCGCTCCTGTATCCTGGAATATCTTACAAAAAGATATGAAGCTCTCGACCTTGACCTCTCTAAGTGTCTTTACGAATCTGTTGGACTCCTGGCAGGGTCCAATGCTGACATGTTCCTGTTTTTAGTTTTCTACATTTGTCTTGGAATCTAGCTGTTTTTTTGTTTTGTTACCTTTTTCCTTTAAGCCATCCTATTTCTTAAAAAAAAAAAAAAAAAAAAAAAACTGTAGTATGAGTTTTTATAACTGCTTATTGTTGTTGCTGTTGTCCATTGTTGTCATCTTTCTTTGTTGAAATCAGGTCTCTCTTGTAAATGAGTCCTTGAGGCTCAATGGGATTTACCTGTATAAATAAAGGTTGATTGATTCATTACAAGCAAAATCACATTTTTGTGTAATTTTATTGGCATGAGCCACAAAAATCGCAAACGGAAGCAACAGTCTGAAACTTCATACACTGATTCTGCAAGCTCCCGTCACTCACATTGATAATGACCCCACTAAGCGGTAAAAACACAAGTTAGTCAGAACCTGAACAGTCTTAGGCAGGGTCTTGGTCTTCAGTCGTGTATTGAGAACATGAACACCTACAAACCGGAATCCAAAAAAGTTGGGACACTAAACAAATTGTGAATAAAGACTGAATGCAATGATGTGGAGATGGCAAATGTCAACATTTTATTCGTAATATAACATAGATGACAGATCAAAAGATTAATCTGAGTAAATGTAACATTTTAAAGGAAAAATATGTTGATTCAAAATTTCACAGTGTCAACAAATCCCAAAAAAGTTGGGACAAGTAGCAATAAGTGGCTGGAAAAAGGAAATTGGGCATATAACAAACAGCTGGAAGACCAATTAACACTAATTAGGTCAATTGACAACATGACTGGGTATAAAAAGAGCTTCTCAGAGTGTCATTGTCTCTCAGAAGCCAAGCTGGTAAAAGGATCACTAATTCCACCATTGTTGTGCAGAAAGATAGTGCAGCAATACCAGAATGGTGTTACCCAGTGTAAAATAGCAAAGACTTTTAAGTTATCATCATCAACCGTGCATAACATCATCAAAAGATTCAGAGAATCTGGAACAATCGCTGTGCGTAAGGGTCAAGGCCGTAAAACTCTACTGGATGCTCGTGATCTCCGGGCCCTTAAACCATACCAATTTATTTATAAAGCACTTAAAACAGCAGCAAGGCCAACCAAAGTGCTGTACAGACAAAACAACAAGTAACACACAAAGCAAAATACAAAATGAGGTAAATCAGAATATAGACAAAAAACGATGCTGATAATGACGACAAACCAGTGTGGAGCATACAGGATCAAAACACAGATCATCTTGTGTTGAATGCTACTGAATAGTAGTGAGTTTTTAAACGGGACTTGAAAACCAAGAGTAGGGGGGCCTGTCTGACAAGCAGAGGTAACTCGTTCCAGAGTCTTGGTCCTGCTACAGAGAAGGCCCTGTCACCTCTGCGCTTAAGACGAGTTCCTGGAACTGTGAGGAGCAACTGGTCTGCTGACCTCAGGGAGCGTGGTGGGACATACGGTTGTAGCAAATCAGAGAGATGGGGGGGGGCGACACTGTTCAGCGATTTGTAGACATACACGAGTATTTTGAACTGGATTCGAAAGTGAACCGGTAACGAGTGCAGTGAGGCCAAAACTGGTGTAATGTGCTCTCTTTTGCCTGTACTGGTTAAAAATCGGGCTGCTGCATTCCAGACCAGTTGTAGTCATGCAATGGAGGTCTGACTGATACTAAACAGGAGCGAATTGCAGTAATCAAGCCTAGATGTAATGAATGCATGTATTACTGTCTCCAGGTTCTTTTTGGACAATATGGGCTTCAGTTTAGACAGCCGCCTCAGTTGGAAGAAGCATGATTTAACAATCATGTTTACATGATTGTTAAGTTTCAGGGAAGGGTCCATTATCACTCCCAGATTAGTGACTCTGTTTTTCTGACAGGGTTAGAGTGGAAAGGTCGATGCAGTGGTTTGTGATCGTGTCGTTGGGAGGGAACAACATGACTTCAGACTTCTTTTCAATGAAACTTAAAAAATTTAAAGCCATCCAGTCCCTGATGTCAGCTAGGCAGTTGAGCAGCGGTTGAATAGAGCATGTACCATTGTGTCTTAGGGGGAAGTAAATTTGACAGTCATCGGCATAGAAGTGGAAGGGCATGTTGTGTTTCCGGAAAATAGCACCAAGCGGCAGCAGGTATAAAGAGAATAGGAGGGGACCCAGGATGGACCCCTGCGGAACCCCCCATTTAAGCTCTGCCTCTGCGGAACTAAAATCCTTTATGGAGACTGATATAAAAATATATTTTACAAGGTTTTAAGTTGCCTTTATGCCTATTCAAACATATATTTTGTGTGTGTTACTTATCAGAATTAAATGTCTAAATTGCCATAAAAGGCAAGGGTGGAATGATATAGGAATGATTATTTTGATGCTTTTATGTCAATTTATACTTATACTCACTTTATATGCAGCTTATCTATCCAAAGTCAGGCCTGTGCTGCAGATGTGTTTTGGAGGAATGAAAGTAAGCCTCCGGGGGGTGCTCTGGCCGTAGGATCTGGCCCATCTTGTGGTTACAGTGACCCGGAGTTTGATGTAGACAGGTCTTTCATCCACTCACGACTTTGGGTTTGAAAGACATGTTTTTATGAGCCATCGCTCTGCTGTACAGACTGCCTTGATGATGGAAAACATGTTTTCAAGGTCAGGTTATTGCCTTGGTTTTGCACAACCTGTTTTTATGAGATACCGACTTTCTGTCTGTCCTTCTGACAACCATCAAACTTGTTTTTCACTGCTCTCACGCGATCC